AGAAACATAAAGGAGCATAGCATTTCCTCAGTTAATATGTTTATAACTTTATATGCAAGAAAGAGAATGGAGCAGAGCAGTTCAGCAGTTAGCAAAACAGAAATGGCAGGACGTTGTGTATATGTCGATCATCTCCATCTATACGATTCAATCAATCATGTAGGACTTAATAAACCCTTTGGGCATGAAAAGAATCTGCAGACTATCCAAGACATTTCTTAAAATTTTAAGTAGCACACATCAGGTTCACAAATAATATGGGACAGTGCTGAATGTTTGGAGGTTAATAGCATCTCAGAAACAGAAATGAAGACAGCATTTTCAATAGTTAAAATAAATGGCAACACATGCTGCTGTATTAATCATCTCCATATATAGGCTACAATACTGTAGGAATTAACCCTCTAGCAAAGAAAATACTAATGGCAATCGACTAGAATGAAAGGAACCTAGGACCTCGATAATTATTAATCACCAAATCGGGAAGTTGATTTGGATGTGTCCTTGGTCTCCATCATCGAACAGAATTTAGTTAGTTTATATGCAAATTTTAGTATACATGGTACAATAGCTCCAAACTGAATGAACAGAAGTTAACAGCATGCTAGAAACAAGAAGGAGCAGAGCATTTCACCATCAGCTACCAACTTAGCATTGCAGAAATAATGGCAGTTGTTCAATTAATAAGCAATTATGCACCTGAATAAAGCATAGTACGAACTAAGCAATCAGTCATTCTTCGAACACAGTAACAATTAATGGTTGACCTTGATGAAGACATCGTCATTGAGATTGAATATGACATTGTCAACCGAAGCAGAAGTGTAGTGGCACCGGGCACTGATCTGCTCCCCTTCCCAATCTGCAGAGCTGATGCACATATGGAAGGGAATTCAGTTCAGGTTTACATATAACATTTTAAAAACAGGCAGCGCAAATGAATGAGCCCCCTTTGATTGCGACAGGGTGAACAGAGCGAATGATCAGAATCACTTATTTGCGGAGATGCATACCGCCTGGCACACGAGTGATCAGAACCCTGCAGCCAAAAGCGCGGAAGGATTTATTTAGTCAGAATGAATGAATTTAGGAGAAACTCTGTCAGTCAGAGACTCTGGATGTCCAATGCACGAGCTGGAGCCATGCCCACCCATGCGCTGACGCTGAGAGTGTGACACTGAAACAGTGAGACTAACGCCGGCCAGGCCAGGCCAGGCCAATGCCATACCTTGGTTGTGTTGTACCTGTTCGGCCACCGCCGCCTGGCCTCGCCGTCCGGCACGGGGTCGCCGACGAAGCGGTCCGTGCTTGGCGCGTCCGCCCTGGTCTCCATGCTGGGCCAAAAAATACTTTTCGGCCAACAGTTGGCCAAGGAGCCCTTCTTCGGCCAACATCTGCTCTATTTTTTAGAAAATTCATATCAATTAGGATTTTTAGTATTTTAATTCGATTCTTTTTGCATTAGATTAGAAATTTTATGAAGTTTCTGTAGATATCAAGTTTGACTAGATTTGAAAGTTTGAATTTTAATTTTTCATGAATTTGCTCAAATAACTAGATTGCCTATAATTTGAGCTAGGAGTATTCTTTTTAGATGATTCTTTTTGCTACTGGTTCTTTGTGACTTTGATTATCAGTAGTAATTAATTGGTGACTTTTAGGATTATTTAAAATTAGGTTTTTACGCCATTCTCTCCCTCCATTTTCTTCCGCCATTCTCTCCCTCCATTTTCTTTCCCGCGATTCTCTCCCGCCATCTTCTTTCCCACCATCTTCTTTCTCGCCATCTTCACTTCTCAACTTATAAAACGAGCCTCATGGTGTCCACGATCGCAGATAACATCGTCTGACACGGTCTGTGTCTCCTGCATCGGTACTGCTGGTGGAGTGTGAAACACTGTCTGAGAGAAGTCATAAGTCTTTGCAGCTTCGTCATCATCATCGGAGAGTGTTTCACACTTATGACTTCTCTCACACAGTGTTTCACACTCCACATGAAAGCATCATCGTCATCCTCCATCGATGCAGCACTCCTTAGTGTGGCGGGAGAGAATGGCGGCAAAGAAAATGGCGGCAAAGAAAATGGAGGGAAAAAGATTGCAGGAAAGTTTTTTTTTTCATGTATAAAACGGCAATGGTTGTACAGGATTTACAAGGCACTTTTAAATATAAACTCCTATGAAGCTCAAAACAAGTTTTCTAGTAGGATAAAAGAAATAAAATAAAAAAATACTAAAAATAAAGTAGCTACTGATAACTAAACAGAAACAAAAAGAATATGTCAAAAAACTAAAGAAAAAATTCAAAGCAATTAAAATTAAAAGAAATAACATAAAACCTATAAAACACTAAAACAGAACTGTTTTCATAAAAACCTAATTTTAAGTAATTATAAAATTCGCCAATTAATTACTACTGATAAACAAATTCACAAAGAACCAGTAGCAAAAAGAATCATCTTAAAAAATACTCCTAGCTCAAATTATAGGCAATCTAGTTATTTGAGCAAATTCATAAAAAATTCAAATTCAAACTTTCAAATCTAGTCAAACTTGATATCTACAGAAACTTCATAAAATTTCTAATCTAATGCAAAAGAATCAAATTAAAATACTAAAAATCCTAATTAATATGAATTTTCTAAAACAGTAGAGCAGGCGTTGGCCGAAGAGGGACTTTTCGGCCTCCTGTTGGCTGAAGAGGGACTTTTGGTAACGGTTGGCCGAAAAGTCCCTCTTCGGCCAACAGGTGGCCGACGGGGTGATACTTTTGATTTTTCTCCATTAGGGTGTATAGTTTCCGAATTTGCTATAAAAATCATCATAGTTTCAAAAAAAAAATCGTACAAAACAGCTCATTTTGAGTTGTCTGAAATGACTTACAAAAGTGAACGGAGGGAGTACATCTCTTAGTAACGTCGAAAAATCACTCAAAACATCTGTCAAAGTTTGCCAAAAAAGAAAATCAGATGTATTTTTTGGGGGGATTTTGCTGTTCATCATGAGCTCACCAGCAGAAGAGGACTTTTCGATAACTGACCCATGCTTACGCTCAGTTCTTTTGCCAGATTCTGGATTCCTTTCCGACTTCCGAGCCAGCCAGCGGCGGCGGGGCCGATGGATCTTGTGCCGGCGAGAAATCAGGCCGGGTTCGGGGCTTGATTTGGTGGGTTGCGCCGGGTTCCGGGCCGCGCGTCGACGACCGCTAGGCCCGGACCCGCCCGAGTCGTCGGCGCGTAGCTCAGGGGCGGATTCCTCTGGCGCAATATCTCCCACGACCAGTTGGGTGGCCCTGGATTTCTCCACTCCACTCTCGGCGGTGGCCCGCCCTGTCAATGCCACCCGTCGCCTTCGCACACTGGCCTCCTCCTCCTTCCGGCGAGTGTCCGCCTGGGATTTCCCAGCTGCTTCGCGCCATCACCTGCGCCCGTGCTGTCACTGCCACTGAGATTGCTGCCTTCAGCAGGACGGCGCGCGCGTCTTCTTGCAGTTCGTGAGGTATTTCCTGCTTGGCTCCATTGTTTACCTTCTCCTCCCCTGCTACTCAAAGTCCGGCCAATTTTCACCGGCGATCGTCTCTCCGGCCTGACAATTGTCACAGGGTCGGTGCAGTGTGTACCATTAGCGTCTTGTCTGTCCAACAAGTAAGGGTGTGTTTGGTTTGAGCCCCAACTAGCCCCACCAAAATTTTGGCATGACCAATACAAGGGCATGACCAAATTTTTGGCTAGTTGTTTCTGTTTGGTTTGTAGCCATCGTATGTCCAAAAAGCTGGCAGAATAGATCAACATTTGGTTTGCAACATCCTGATTTGATAAAAGCCTGTTCTGCAGTCAAACTAAAAAAAAACTGACACGCACTGCAAGCTCCTACAGAAGCGGCGTATCCCGGTGCATGCGGTCGCTAATTGTGTACGGACATTGATCAATTACGATCTTAAGAAACCAAAACACCAGCTTACATGCACTAGATATAGAAATAAAAAATAGAAAGTGGATGGGACCCACCAATCAGAGGGGGCAAGTCGGGCTGCCAATATTTTGGCGGAGCTTTTGAGCGCCCTGGAATCGCCCGCTCGTTGGCGAGAAATACATGGGCGCGGCGCTGGCGGACTGGGCGAGCCAATTCGTTGGCAACCATCCAAACCACTACCAAAATTCAAGGGCAAGCCAATATTTTGGTAGGGTCGGCTTTGGTGACAATCCAAACGCACCCTAAGTATCCCACCCTCACACCATGGTTTAATTTTGACTCTTCTGATTTCTCAGCTCCTTGCCCAGGGTCCGGCTGACTTGGCAGCTGCTCTTTGCTCAGCTGTGGTGTGGTGACTGACAGGTGAGCAGTTGAGCAGTTGCCTCAGATTGAGCAAGCCGAAATCGAGGCCCGATGGCGATGGAGGTGGTGACCGGAGCGATGCACACCCTCCTGCCCACGCTAGC